TAACAATGATTCATACGCAACTACACGCCTAAACATTTCATTCTACGAACTACGTAATCCTAGCTCTATTACCAAAAGTCTGCTAAACACATTCGCTTTAATGACGTATACGCACAATATTTCACAAAACGCGCCGGTGAAAGTGCTGAAACTCCTTCTGGTCAGCTAAATGCAAAAGACTTCAGTTTCAACGAGCATGTACTTTCAAAGGAGCTACACACCAATGGTAGGTTTCCGCATGCGCGAAAGGCGGTATACCTGCGACTCTCGAGCGCGATACGCATCTGATGATATCCTTGGGACACATCCAGAAGGGAAAAGATGGCGCAACCAGGCATCTGATCAAAGCGTTCATCAATGCGATGCAGCGGAATCTTTGGAACAATCGGCTGTGAGTTGGCGCGACGGTAGCCGATAACCCAGCGGACCGGCAATTTCCAAAGTGTACTCACTCAGAGCGAGACAGCTTTTGTCCAGAAGTAGGATTTTTCTTAGAAATTTCAAAGATACTGGACACCCAAACAGAATCAGAAATTTCGATCCATTCTTACTTATGGCTTTCAGCAACAAAGCGGTCAAGTTCCCAGCTCAAGCTTTGACAGGAGGAACGGAGCATGCGACGGGGTTGCCGTAGCTAAGCGTCAGAGGAAGACGTACGACTCAAAGAGTCCCTAACACTAAGTTCCTTATCCGAAGGAAACTTACATCCCAAGAACCAGGGCTCAAAGTTATTAAGAACACTAATAACTTTTATGCTTCAAAACCAGAAGTGTTTTATTTATTTTTATTGCGGTCAAGCCGCTATCTATGTTTAACTATATATCATAGTTAAACCTAATCAAATGCATATCGTGTGGCCCTCAGCCTATGTACTGAGGCCACTATTAACTCTACGAGTTATGTACTGTGAGTCTGTTAACTCTTCGGTTACTCCGTACCCATGTGTACGCCACACCCCTGTAACCCCGTTATACTCTCCCCCACTAAGATGAGAACTTACCCGTTCTCGAAAGCACCTCAGCGAGGCCACGTCTTGCCAAGACGTCGGAGGGCACTGTGCCTCATCCTTGCGTTCTCCAGCCGAGCTCACGAACACCTTTGCATCTCTGATGCGTAACAATTCGCCTGCTGCCCACGGCCAAACGTCATCAGCGCGTCGCGCATCAAGTTCCCACGAGGTCCCAGACCATTTTGCTTACGCCGCGCCTGCTCCGAGAGCTGCCACACATACCTTCGCGGCCGGGTACCACGCTGCCGACATGACACATGCTCAATGAGCTGCCAACCTGAAGCGAGCCAAGCTCAAGAGCCTTGAGCTCCATGTTCATCTGAATCTTGGGCTCCGAACATATAGCTCAGTGGTCGAGCACTCGCTTGAAAGCGTGAGGTCCGTGGTTCGATACCACCCTCGAGGACACAGCCCATATACCTTAGCTAAGGTTTTGGACTCAATCGATCCACGGGCAGCGCCCACATAGCTCAATGGTCGAGCGTTGGCTTTGAAAGCCAAGGGTGGGTGGTTCGGTCCCGTCCGTGACACAGTAACTGCGCTATTCCAAACTTGGATAATGCTCCTTGAGCAAGTTTCTCCGAAACAAATACGCGTCAATCAGGACGCTTGTGCTTGGACCTCGTCCAACACGACACGAAGCATCCGCTTCCATCGGGACCTCGTCCAACACGACACGAAGCATCCGCTTCCATCGGGACCACGTCCCCAACACCACGAGGCACACCTTCCTCCTGCTTCCGCTGCGAGCACCGATGTTCATACTTGAGCTGGCTGCTCCAGCCACTGGTCAGAGACGGAGCTCAGCTACCGACCTGTAGACACCCCGCACTACTGAAGGGAAGCGCTTGGCGCTTGGCGACGCAGTCGCGATCCCATCTGAGTTATTGGCAGTGGGTGTGCCAGGTCATAGGCGTCAACGACGTCAGGGCAGTCCTCACGGAGGGGAACCTCGAACTCCCATGAGTTCTGTGAATATGGATATCCTCTCCATTTCACTAAGTACTGGGTACGACCCCGGTGACGACGCCGCGCCACAAAGCGTTCCACATGATAGTGGGGCTCACCGTGCTCGTCGAGCAGAGCTGGAGGAGGCCGTGCCTCAGCTGGATTCCAGCGCTGCGAATCAGCACTCGCCGGAACGGCGTCTGCGACCTCACAACGAATGCGTCCCTGACGCGAACGACCACGTTCATCGCGAAGCGGTCGGTCTCGAAGAAATGTTCCACTCCATGGACTGTTTGTATTCCATATTGTTGATTCACAACCAGTTCCCGGACCTTAAGCACAAAGTTGCTCAGCTGTATCTTCAGCTTGACTTGCTCCTGCATCTCAAGCATTTCGCTCCGCAATCTGTGACTTCGCCACATGCTGTTGACCAGTTCCTCGCAATTCCACCACTTGCTGTCGCCCACCCTTCCGTGGTTTCACCACCTGCTGTCCCGCAGCCGCACGCGGCCTAGCCGCTCTCTGTCGATTCGGCGCCAGTGACTCGGCGCTGAACCGGGTCCTGGTACGGCTTGAGCAAGCCAACGTAAAACACCGGATGGGTGCTCATCTTCTTGGGAAGATTTAGCGTGTACACTAGGACCTTCCTGGCCACGACCTTGAACGGTCCAATGAACCTAGGTCTTAGGTTTGTCTTGAAGACGGCAGACACTGCATGTGTAGGTAGGTTTTTTGCGTTTAATAAAACAAGGTCTCCGACCTCAAACTGTTCCATGTTCTTTCTGCCTTTGGCATCTGCATACTCCTTTTGGAGATCCTGGCTTTCAGCCATTGCATCGCGCACTCGGCGCATGA